GAAGCTTGATCACAACCGGAGTAATCTCACTAGATTACATAAAATCAGCTGATAATCTAGCAGATCCATTCACTAAGGGTCTAGCTCGTGATCAAGTTCTCAAATCGTCAAAGGGAATGGGTTTAAAGCCTATGACTAAAGAGGTTGTTTGATGGAAACCCCACCTACATGACTGGAGATCCCAAGATGTATGGTTCAAAAGGGAAAACAAAATCAAACAAAATCTAACGCACTGAAAGACGTATAGTCTTAACCTAGGTCCCAAGATGATTGACAGTGTTTACATACAATCTTCATTGTATATCTACAAAGGATAAGCATAGCTTTTAATGATAAGACCATAGCTTTGATATATCAGTGAAGTTCAACACTTCTTAAAACAAAGACTACTGGCAAAATCACCTAGTGAGTGTGAAATGGGGCCGTTTCTAGGAGAATGAAAAACAACAGGCTATATTTTCCAACTTCACTCATGATTAACCAGGCAAGTTCAAGGCCAAAATGAACACAATAGAGAACTTCGTTCTACGAGAAAATGAAACTGAGTTGTATTTGTTGTCTCGGTTTACATCAAAATCCGGGTGGTTCAAAATCCGGGTGGTCTTGGGTCTTGGGTCTTGGTGAATGTGGGCCTTCGGCCCACAAAAGATGTTCATTTTGGGCCACGTTTTGGTCAACATTTCTGGCCCAAATTGCTAAAGTTTTCGGTTCAAATTCTTAACAGAATCACGACATTAAACTGCAGTCAAATGTCTATCCCGAAAATCACGCCAAGATTAACGCCCAAATCGCATCATTAGTGCAAAATTAATCACGTCATTAACACGCTGATTAAGTGCGACGCTCCTCTCTCCTTCGCTATATATATCGACTTTTCCTCTTCCAATTTTTTAAAAAGAGCTCTCTACAGAGAAAAATCGTTCACACTTTTCCTTCAAATCTCTCGCGTCTCTTTTCTTCTTTCAAGAGTAAGTGTCCGAGAGTATATCGTAGAATATCAGTTCGTCACATTCTATAATCGGGTGCTGCGATTATACGAATACTAGTGGTTCTATCCTGGGATTCATGATCTCATCCAACCGCCACACTGCGGGAGATATTTTGAATTAAGGAAAGAGATCATCTCGCCTCCACTTCTCGTTTTTCCTTAATCCGATTTTATAAAACGTTTTTCTGTGTCTCAAATCGTTTTCGTATATTGCAATATTTGTCTCCTCTAAATTTACTTCCTACAATTATAGAATGGCTAGACATGGCTTTTTTTCGTTTGAGTCAATTAGTTATATAAAAGCACTAGTTATCTTATATAAGAAACCGGATTTAAAGAATTAATCTATTTTCGTAGATAAGTTTTTTTTTTCAGTATTTTTTCTCCTTTATTCAGGCCCTGTTCGTTTTTTTTATCTAGATGCTGCATCTAGATTTTGCATTTAGATCAACATCTAGATACAACATCTAGATATTGTTTGTTTTGGAAACTAGGTTTTGCATCAAGATGCTACGTTTAGATACTAAATTGTTCGTTTCTAAATTTAGAAAAAATAGTTTGATGCAAAATATATCAAATGACTAAAAAAAATATATTTTTGAATATCATTTTTTAATAAATGATATATTTATCAAATTAAGTTTTAGATATACATAAATTTTTTTTTTTGCATTTTTTGTGGGAAAACATAATTTTGTATATTTGACGAGAAAATTTTTACTGAAATTTTGAGTTTTTGATGGAAAATCAAGATATTGTGTTTTTGGCGTGAAATCGAGATTTTACGTTTTCAGCGAGAAACCGAGAGTTTTTGTTTTCGGCGAGAAACCGAGATTTTTTGTTCTTGGCAAGAAATCAAGATTTTGCGTTTTTGGTGAGAAACCGAGAGTTTTCGTTTTTGGCGGGAAATCGAGATTTTGCGTTTTTGGCGAGAAACCTAGATTTTTTTTCGTTTTTGGTGGAAAATCAAAATTTTGTGTTTTTGGCGGGAAAGCGAGATTTTGCGTTTTGGCGGAAAACCAAGAGTTTTTTATTTTAGTGGAAAATCGAGATTTTTCCGTTTTTGGCTAGAAATCGAGATTTTGCGTTTTTGGCGAGAAGCAAGGATTTTTCGTTTTTGACAGGAAACCGAGATTTTTCGTTTTTGGCGAGAAATCAAGATTTTTTGTTTTTGGCGAGAAATCGAAAGTTTTTATTTTTGGCGGGAAACCGAGGTTTTGCGTTTTTGGCGAGAAACCTATATTTTTTTGTTTTTGGCGGGAAATCGAGATCTTGTGTTTTTGGTCAGGAAATCGAGATTTTGCGTTTCGGCAGGAAATCGAGAGTTTTTCGTTTTTGGCGGAAAATCAAGATTTTGTGTGTTTGGCGAGAAACCGAGATTTTTTGTCTTTGGAGGGAAACAGAGAGTTTTTGTTTTTTGCGAGAAACCGAGAATTAACGTTTTGGCGGGAAATCAAAATTTTTTTTTGTTTTTTTGCAAAAAATCGAGATTTTTCGTCTTAATGGAAAATCGAAATTTTGTGATGTTTGTGGAAATCAAAATTTTATGATGTTTGTAGAAATCAAGATTTTTATTATAGTAAGGATCTGTTCTTTCCTTTCGCGCAGCGTCTGCGTCAGCATCAAATTAAAATGGTGATGACCGTAATACGTAACAAAGTAAAACGACGATGGCGGAGCTGCTGCTGGAAAAAGGAGATGTCGCAGGTGGTGTCGCAAGAGTGACCGCATCACCTAAAAATGACGCCTCAAATTCCAGCGTCGTATGAGAGTTGTTGCAATCATCTTCATCAACACCTGCGATCATCTTCGGCGGCAATTTTATCTTCTTCGTAACCGTGTTGTTGCCGTTTTACTCTTCGTTGTAACCGTTTTGCTGCCATTTTACTCTAACGCAGACGCTAACGCAGCGGGAAAGAAAAGAACAGACTCTAAGAGCATTAATGTTTTTAACATAAACTAGATGCAAACGTTGTCTCTGAACTCTCTATTTCTCAGCATCTAAAATATCTAGATTTTTTAGATGCTAATCACTTTGTATCCAGATGCTGCATCTGAACGCAAATTTTTTTGTGAAAAAACGAACAACATTTGGACATTTGCAACCAGATGCAGCATCCAGATACAGAAACGAACAGGGCCTTAATATATCGGTAGACCGTAGACGAAAACATAACAAACAGTGTTGACTGTTTCTAACAATATCAAAAAAGTGTGTTGAGCGTTGAATACTTCATTTTTGTTTTGAAAGAAAGCATTGAATGCTTCATTTTCCGCGTTTCTATACAAATATACGCGCTAACAAGTAGCAACTGCAACTGATTCAATTTGTCCGAATTACCTAGTTAACTCTTCTATCATTTAAAAGTTATTTATTTAAATCTTCAATGATGAAATTTTGAGCCGAGGTGGGTTGTTTTTTTTTTGAATCTTTGAACCGAGGTAGTTGCTTCAGTGTTCAATTCGGGTATGGTTTTCAAGCAAAAGTCGGATTCGTATCCAATCATGATACTTCTTTTTCAACAGTCCTAAGCAAAATTATTTTTTTTTTTTATAAAAAAAAAAATTCTGGTCAGACATATGACAAGTTACGTATAAATGGCATCGTAACTAACGTAGCCTTAGTCCAATAAAAAAAACTAACGTAGACTTGTCCAGATTTTTACTACAGAAGTCCGTACAACCAAGTCAACAAAACCATATTCCACTTGTTCTCCTCAACACGCTATTTTTTCCTTTCTCAAAATTGACCTTAAAAAATCTCTCTACCTACTTAAACCCCGTTTCATGCTACAAAACCAAACCCATCATTATTACTTCAGAACCAAAATAAACAAAATAACACAAATATAGAGTGTGAGAATGAGAGGACAAAACAACAACAAGAACAGGTTCTTGAGAATAATCAGCATGCCACTAAAAGTTTTGGTCAAGGCTCGTGATCTCTACATGCGAAGCATCACAGGCTGCGCAGCTCGCACTCACTACTCCTCCGCTGATGCCGTCTCCATTCCCTTTCCGAGAAGCCGGAGCACTTCCTCAGCCTTCTCCTCCTCCGCCTCTTCGCGGAGGAGGTCTTCCGATTTCACCTTCGAAGATGATTACAGCGAGCTGCTCAGAGCTGCTTCCGTTAGGAGTTTGGGTCATAAGAACGGGATTGACATGTTCATACATCAACAGCTTCAGCAGCGGAAGGGGAATCACGTTGCGGTTGGGGCGGTTGCGGTTGCGAAAGGTGGTTTACCGAAGAGCTCGAGCGTAGGGATGAAAATGGCGAAAATTGATGAAGAAGATGAAGAAGAAGGATCTGTGAAGAATCTAAAGAAAGGATCTGATTTCTTATACCCTCGTAGCAGATCATATGCTGTTACAATCAGAGGATCCAAGTTTTAATTTACTATACATGTCAATTTTCTCAATATTTTTAAGAAGTATAAAATCAATATTAGTTCCTAATTATTTGATGGTTATGGAATTATTTAGATGTAAAGCTTCTGTCAATATTTATACCCAAAAAACAAATTACTGTCAAAGATTTTAAAACAAAAATTTGCATGTTATATAACGATGAAATATAGTTTCATTTATTTTTGGGTGGGGGTGGGGTGGGGGGGGGGGGTGAAGGAATTTTAAAAATTTGTTCCATTTTTGGAATTTGATACTTGCTATAAAATTCATATCAGCCAATAAAAGAAAGATAGAAAAAAAAATGCAGTGGAAATACAAACAATCTTAAGAAGCTATACCAAATGCTGACAAAAAAAAAGGCTATACCAAATAACAGATTTCTAAACGAAGACACCAGATGACAAGAATAACGTGATCTTTAATGTATTGTTCAATTAGTTGACCCAAGATGTTTTTTTTTTCTCAGAAAAGGTGGACCAGAAATCTGAATTCAGGTGGTAGAAGTTACAATTTAAAGAAGGAAAGCGTATGCAATTTAAGTTTAGATCTTGTTAGAAGTTACATAATTTCTATAAATATATGTTACGAGTTCTTATATTTTGATTAGTAAAGTTTGGAAAGCGTTGTTGTAACGCCTAAATCACGGAAAGTCGATGAATTAATGAATTCTTGTATACAAATTATATACAATTGTTATCGTGTTTCTGGTTGCACTTTTTATATTTCAATATTCAATTCTTGTTAATTTACACATATACACTCGTGTCTTCATGTTCTTTCTATTTGTACTTAAATAAACATACTTAAAAGTTAAAACGTATTTTTTTCTGCCACTTAATATAGACCAACAATTTTTGGATGTGTCATATAAATTGTTATTCGAAAACATTAATTTCACTTTGTCTTTATTGTGGATTAAGTCATACGTTCACCAAACTTTTTTGCCTCATTAACAAAATAAACTACTACCAACCTATTTTCATTACTTCATATACTGTCATACTGACTACCTGCATATATGTGATGGGCTTGCCGACTTTAGTGAGACTCGCGCGTTAAACATTCTATATTTTAGTTTCATTTAAAAATGCATATTATTTGATCTATAAAATTTAGAGTGTTATTAAAATTTTTTATTAGACTAGCAACTTTTGTAAGATAATAGTTTAAAAGAAACAGTCTTCATATAAGTTTATATTATACAAGCGTCATGAGATTAATTGTTGGTTTAATAAGTTCATGGACCTAAATTCACATCATATGTAAGCTTTTTATACGAGACATGCATGCAGAATGATCATAAATAACTGGAAAAGAAACCCCACAAACATCAATCTGAAATTAACCAAAGCATGTACAGAATTATGAGACAATAGAAAAAAGTAAAAGTTTTTGTATAGCCATATGACAGAATTTACAATGAGCATCAGCTTTATTTCTAATATGTATTGGGGATAAGAATAAGAAAATAGATCAAGCTTAGCATAGAATGGATGATTATACCAACTGAAACTCAATCATACGGTAAGGAATAACTTTAAGTACCTAGTTGGGATAGAGGAAATTTAATCACTCTTTCTAATCATGAAATTCCTGTGTGAGATGTTGTAAATATAGAGCAAATTTAGGGAGTAAAAACTAAGTCCTTTCTCTATAGATTACTCTCAAACTGATTCATTAAAATAAGAAGTCCAAAGTTAGATTCCTATAGGCATACGACATGGTGAGATGCTTTGATCGAACTGAAGTGGAAGTAAAATCGAATTTTTTTTGTCACATTTATACGTTTAAAGAACACTAATACGACAAAAAAAAAAGCAAAATAACCAGATGCATTCCAAAAAAATCATCTCTTCAGTGTTTTTCCTTTTTCTTTTTCATTTTCTTGGATGAACATTTCTTGTGACAGAAGAATCAATTGAGACTATGAACATTTGGTTTCTCCATTAACCGGAGGAGCTCTGTAGTATGCAGGCACAGTTGCTGGAAAAAACATCTGCCTAACTCCTTCTGCCTTTATTATCGGAAATATTATCCCCGATGCTCCCTGCCATTTTCACTTTTACGCATTATGATCGTGTAACCATACAGCTAAAAAAAAAAACAATAACTAATGTGATTCATACCGAGATCAATTTGGCTCCAAGCCATATGCGTTTTGGGGAAGGGAATGGAATCAACAACCGTATGACTCCATAAACCGCAACGGCAAAGAAATGGCAGACAAGAGTTAGCGGTCGAGGATTCAAACCGGAAAGCAAAGATACTGGTCCGCTTGTGCACATGCCTCCAAGACTCAGATAATCGAAACACGCTTCTCTCATCTCGTTTCTTGCTTCGTCTTTTGATGAACAGAAGACTTTGTAAAGAGCATTGGCAAGTGTGTTGATCGTTGCTGCCACTGGCTGCAAGTGTGAGATGATGATTTTCAAAACACTAATACACACTTTTGACAACAACAACTAAAAAGAACTTAAGTCTACAGTTAATGTTTTACCTTCCGCAGAGTGTAAAACGATTCGAGATATTTGCAGAGACTGGAACCGTCACTAAGGTCACGGAGCGGTCTAAGAAGATTACGCAGGACAACGATGTCAGATAATGCAACGGTCATACCTCCACCTGTTAGAGGATGACGCATGTTAAATGCATCTCCCATTAACAAAGCTCCTGGAGTGGGATAAGGAGAAGCAGGCATGCTTCTGTTTGGCATGGACTTGATGTTTCCTTTTTCGACCGCAGCGATGAAAGAGTCATAGACCTCGGGAGGCATCTTAAACAGAGATAAACACACACAAATTAAACCAAAGGTTAAAAAAACAAAAATGCAGTGAAGAGAAGTGCAGAGCGTGAAAAACCACCCATACCTGAGGAGCCACAACAGTCTTTAAATAATTTTCCATTTCACCATTTGCAATAGAAGGCACTTTCTGACCAGGAACATCAACCAGACACCGGACCTCTGTGCTACTAATTGGATACATCAAAATTGGGGAAGGATCTGCTAATACGACATGTCCATGGTTTTCAAACGGGAGATGGCAGTTCTCTAGTACCAAACCGACAAAACAAGAAGCTACCTCGACCTGCGTGAAGATGATACAGACATATACTATTTACTTGTGAAGTTGTGAATCTAATGCAAATCTATTTTATGGTCTTATAAACTCAACTGAGAGTAATTTCTGATACGAGAAAACAGTGACCAATACTAAACATCACGTTACCTGAGGATTGCAAAGAGAGCGACGCAGGTTTGAGAAACAACCGTCACAAACTATAGTCAAAGCTGCAAATGCTGTTTGCTCCTCCCCTGTCTTATTCTTATATCTCACACCTTTGATAGTACCATTCTCTTCTAGAAGAGAAACAACTGTTCCTTGCTCTAGCCGAACACTGTTGAATGTCAGTAAAAACAGCCATTAGCAGTACACAAGAGTGGCTTTCATATAGACTTATTATCCAAATACTTTGCATCATATCAAAACCAGATCACTGATTCAAAAATGTTTTCTGCATCTTTATTTAGCTTTAACATAAATATAGACTATTTCTGAAACTGGGATCAACACGATGGAACTTCTAGTAAGTCTAGGTAGAGCAAGCAAAAGGATAAAAGGCCTATAACATCTAGAGGCATTTATATAAGGAAAAAAACGTACTTGGGAAGCGAATCAGCTTTCTCTCTCATTCTTTGTATAAAGCGTCCATTGTGAAAGCTCCTTCCAGATACGTCTGTGTGAAACTTCTCCAGTGGATAAGCTAAACGAATGCGTTTCCCATCCTTAAAAAGTGCATAACCATATACACGCTGAGCATCTATTTCCTCCACGCAATCTGTAGATAGCAACATTGATGATCATTTACTAGTAAAGCAACTAAAGAGCAAATGGTCCTCAACCAAATCTTAGCTTACCTTCAATTCCCAACTCCAGTAACTTGAGGTAACCACCAGGTTGTAACAGCTCCCCAACAATGCGATCTGGCTCCGATAAATCTCTTTCAATCACGTGAACTCTGCGATTATCCTACAACATAAAAATCCCACAAAACAATGTGCAAATCAACACTTTTTGCTTCAAAGAGAAGTGTCACACTGTGAAGCAGAAGATTTCATTCTAAATTCCATATTTCGATAACTTAGATTCCGGAAATGATCACAGAATCCTAAATTTGAGCTATGAATATTGTAGCGTCTTCAATCAATCCACGAAACCAAAACTGCTTCAAAACAAACGGAGAATCGAAACTCGCTATGACTAAGCAGCAATTGCAACTTTTCTTAAATTTCTTGAGCTGAATCGATTCCTCGAAACCATCACCACCTAATTTGGATCCTTAAGCTCTCAAAATCAAAACCCAGGGAAAAGGGGAAAATGACCTTTCCAAGAGTGTAAGCCAGAGCAGAACCAGCGACTCCGGCTCCAACAACAATGACGTCGGCGACGGTATCTCCGCCGCTTGTATTTAGAGATCCGACGTTTGAGGTGACGGTGGAGACGGTGCGATCGTTATGGATCGTCGAGGTTTTAGGGTCTAGTCTATTACTGTTCCGCCTCTGCTTCACGAAAAATACATAGAGAGCGAAGACGGAGATCACGAGAGGCAATATCCAACCCCATAATTGAGGATCCATCATCGTCGTCTTTTACAAAGAAATCGAAATTTCTCTGCGGAAAGAACGAGAAAGAAGATGTTTTATTATCTCTCTGTCTCTCACGAGACGTTTGCTTGTATTTCTATTTTATTTGATTTTTTTTTTTAATTTTTACGCAAATTCCAAGTTAATTTTCGCTGGCAATTTGTGCTGGCAAACTCAGAGTAAAACAATTAAAAACAAAATTATGTTTTTTTGCTCAAAAATCATGATCGATTTTGGATTTTTTTTACCACGAATTATTTGGAAACAACAAAAATTAAAATGGCGCCCTAGTTAAAAAGCGGGTACATGCCATCAGATTGATCATATAGTTTATAGAAGATATTGCACAAAATGCATATATAGGTTTAGGAAACAAGGTTGTTGTCATAATGTGAAAGTGAAATCCAGCTTTTCTGCTTTTGAGCGGCGATTTTTCTCCCAAAACAAATCCTAGCCGCACTCCCTTTTCTCACCTCTT